ATATAATTTATATATAAATATGCAACTGAATATACACTTTAGAGAAGGAATTTTGGTATTTTAAAAATGTAAAGAAAGATAAGTTTTTAAGTTTGTGTATATTAAATATGATATTTAGAGAAGATTTTGTAAGTGTAACTAAAAGCGATCTTTAGAGAAAGTTTTGAAAAATGTCACTAAAGGCAAAAAATTTAGTGAAGTTTTTCCATTAACTTGTTTAAAAGTATTTTTTAATAACTCTTATAAACCGTTACAAATACTTGAATAGAGTCACTAATGAATATTTTTAGCGAAGTTTTGAAAAAAATTAACCTTTAAAGAAACTTCAACTGAAAAAGCGTCACTAAGGCTAACAAAAACGCACTACCTTCATAAAGAAAAGATCTTTGACGAAATCGAAAGGTTTCTCTAAAAGCTTTAAAGAAGCTTTTAAGACTTTGAAGTACAAAACAAAACCTTGTCCGAAGTAGCAGATGAATGCTTGAAGATATATAAAGGAAGATGTTTTGGCTTAATGAAGATACCCCATAAAGGGATTCTGTTCAGCCATTACTGTAGCTATAAATAGACAAAAAAAATCCCAAATTGAATGCTTAGAATATGCTTGTTTATAGCATACATTTGTGTGAATACAATATATACCATGATTTTATTTTCATTTGGTTAAAGGTTGGCTTTTGATTACAAACCCCTTTCACTTTCCTTAAAACATGGCATGCCTGATATTTCATTGAATCATAACATCCAAACATTCAGCCATTGACCCATCTTCCATATATCAACCATATAAACAGGCGCAGTTTCTCATTTAACAAAGTTGCATCAAAAAATTAGTAGCCATGGTCAACCATCTTAGCAATAAAAGCTTGTTCATAACATCGCTGCTTTTGAATTCCGTTTTCTGCACATTTCTGGTTCCTGTTTCTTCCACGCTTCAAAGGTTTCATCACCACACGAACAACAATGGTTCACTCCGGTTTTTGGTCATCGGTGATTGGGGCCGAAAAGGGTGGTACAACCAATCTCAAGTTGCTGTTCAGGTTTCGATTTTCCTCCATCTTGGCCGTCTCTAGTTGTTACTTTTGTGGGTTTAATTATTTGGTGAGATCGTTGCAGATGGGAATCATTGCAGACAGACTAAATATAGATTTTGTAGTTTCAACTGGAGATAATTTCTACAATGATGGGTTAACCGGTGTTCAAGATCCCGCCTTCGACGAGTCGTTCAAATATGTGTATGCTGCACCTAGCCTTCAAAAACAGTGGTATACTGGTACGTACCTTCAAAGATGACCTCTAGCAGTTGCAAAAAACCTACATTTTCCCACCAAAAATTATTGCATTTTGTGGGAGATGGAGATTGGGATTAAAACCTTGAATCTTTATATATCTATATGTTGGACCTCCATTAGTGATCGATGTGATTGTCGTTGCAGTTCTGGGGAATCACGATTACCGTGGTGATGTAGAGGCGCAATTGGACCCGATGCTTAGAAAAAGAGACAGCAGATGGCGATGTTTAAGATCTTTTATCGTCAATACAGGTACTTAACCATAACCATTACATTTTCAAGTACATATCGTTAACAAAAATCCAGTTTTCGTGTAACTTGAAGTTCGTCGTGTAGATATTGCTGAATTGTTCTTCGTGGACACGACTCCTTTTGTTGAAATGTACTTCGATGACCCAAAAGATCACAAATACGATTGGCGAGGCATACTTCCTCGCGAAGTTTACCTCGCCAATCTTTTAAAGGTAAAACTGAATTCTTGATGCATAAAGAGTAAGTTTGTCGGTTTTTCTAACATGAACTAAACTTGAGCTTTTATTCAACATTAAAATTTTAAGGATTTGCGATCAGCATTGAGCGAGTCGAAAGCTAAATGGAAGATCGTTGTTGGCCATCATGGTATTAGAACCACGGGTCACCATTGTGATACTCCGGAGCTTGTCACACATCTTCTGCCCGTTCTGGAGGTACATATAATCGATCTTTCTTCACTACAAAGAAGATTGAAACCCTAAATCGACATGGCTAAACGTATTTTAACAACAACTTGTGGAATTTAGCGATAAAATTTATGTATTTAGTGACGAAATTCGGGCATATAACTACGAGATTTTGCATATCATCAGTTTTAATAGCATCTTTTTGATGGGTCTACTTCTTCTTGATTAAATTGTTTTTGTATGTACAGGAACATCATGTTGATTTTTACATGAATGGACATGATCATTGCCTAGAACATGTGTCGTGCCAAAATAGGTATGTAAACAAGTTCTCTGCTGCATCAAGCTCAATATATGTCTGAATGGTTTCTCACAGAGAACTTAATCAGTGATCAGCCAAATTTCCTCGCGATTTCTCTTGCAAATGAATTTGTTCTCAACCGTAACTGTTTTCGATTCCTGTGCAAATACGAGTAACGAGTATCCCTCCATTTAACATCAATATGTGACATGATCATTGCCTAGAACATGTCTCATCCTAGAAAACAAGACACTAGAACGAAATCGAGTTTATAGAACGCCCACAAAGTTTAAATGCCTAATAGATCGTTACATATGACTTTAAGTTTATAAGCCCAATTAAACAATAAAGGGTCACAATCTAAAAGTGTTGTAATAAGTTTAAAAGACGTTTTTTAACATCTTAACAAGTGTTTTATTGACACTTTTAGAATATAGCCTCGTATTAGCAATTATATAGGAAATATCGTATAACATTACAACAAAATCAATTTTATAGAACCCTAAAATGTAGTAGTGTTCTAAAAAAATACTTTATAAGACTTAAATTTATATGAACAAATAAAAAGCGTTCTTTCTAAAAGTGTTACAATATACAATACGTTTTTAGGCATCTTAACAGATTTTTAAAACCCTTCTCTAAAATAAAAATGTCTTATTAATTATTTTATACAACACTATTTGAAAAAAAAATGCCCTATAAACACTTTATTTTAAAAAGCGTTTTATAAACCTTTTGTAACACTTTTAGATAGTACATTTATAGTTTGATCTAATAATTTTAAATTATATAAAGCATTATATTAGTACGTTTAGACAATTTAGGCATCATATAAATCAATTTTTTTATTAACTTAGATATCTAACTTGCTATGCGGGACCACCTGCTTTGCAGGTAACCCGGAGTCACCGCATTTGAACCTCTGTGGCCACAAGGGAATTCTTGTTCCTTCTTGGATTTAAACCTGGGACCTAAAGGCACTTTTGACCTTTGGAGCCAAACTCAAACCAATTAGGCACCATCCTTATGGTTAATTTTGTTATAGTGTAAACACTTGTTTTTATAGGACAATTTTTTCCAAATAGCTAATAGATCACTTTATTTTAAAAAAAATCTAAAACATTTGCTAAAATGCCCAAAAAGTGTCATAAAACTCCTGACAACACTTTTAGATATAAAGTTTTTTTTTTTTTTTTGGTCCTATAAAAAATGTCCTAAAGCAATCTATTAAGACACTTCAACTATTTTTGCGTCCTATAAACCCAATTTTCTCGTAGTAAGACTTAGAAATATTTTTGTATGCTAATTGAACGAACCATCGTTTGTATGCTAATTGTGTGATATAACATGAAAAATTGCAGTAAAATACGTTTCTTAACAAGCGGGGCTGGATCGAAGGCGTGGCTTGAGGCGAACAAGCCGCAAGATGAGAAATGTGGCGTTAAGTTCTTCCATCATGGACAAGGGTTCATGTCGATGAAGTTAACGAAAAATAATGCTAGATTTGTGTTCTATGATGTTTTCGGTAAACCTTTGCATCGATGGAGGACATCCTTGAAGAAGCTTCATACGTCAATGTAGATACGCAAATCACATCTTCGAAACTATAACGGTTTAGATGATAACCTAGGAGTTATTTTAAGTTCTTATTAACGTATATAGGTATGTCATGGCATATATGGTTTTGTTAGTAAAAATTTGAAAATCCGAACTCATAACTTTTTGGGGGTCGTTGTATTCGACTATTGTTTCTTTTTCGATATGGATCGATCTTTCTAAGCATGAATCATGAGTTTGTTGCTAATTTGTATTCGTTTGTATTATGAGTTGTAACCCTTTGCCCCATACTATGTGACAATTGCCACTCATACATTCATCTCTTCTAAGGGTTGTTTACCAAACGCTTACCTGAGTAAGTGCTTACCAAGTCACATTGCTCTATCGGATGAATATGACAAGGACCAAAAATCTTACCCGTAAGAGCAAATCAAGGACCAAGAATTTTGTTTGATAAGCGACGACGATGACTCTTACCACGATCAACACTTACAAGGTAAATTGTTGCATACAATGCAACAATCCTGTTTTGGTGTACTAAAATTTTAACTAGTAAGTAAGTGATAGTGTTGAATTTTACCGCTAAATACTTATCGGTTAAGTGTTCTTTTCAAGAAAAAACAACATTTTAACATAATCTGACCTTACCAACTTCAGTTTATTAAAAAAAAAAAGGGAGTAAAATAGTTTTGAAAACTGTCGTTGGTGATCCGCAACGGATCACCAACGGACTACCAACGTATATGGTAATCTCTTGGTGATCATTGACAGCTTTAAATATGATTGCTTTTGTATAATTTGCTACGTTATTGAAAAGAGGCTCACGACGAGAACTTGGTAAGCAGCGGAGGGATCAAAACTCGACATCATGACTTCAACAGACGATATAACCAATTGTTAGTAAGATTAACTCAGCAGTACGAAGACTCATTTGACAGATTCATTGCTTGATCAGGGTTGATGTGCTGAATGATGTCCAACAGCTGAGTGATCTTTTTCTTATTCACTTTATTGTAGAATAAGACAGTCAAGTTGCAGAAAAATACAAATAGCATGCATGTTTGCCCCATGAAATACAGTGTGGCTTGTATTAAATGCATTCTGCTGTCAACTAAGAGAACATGCCACCGTTGAGTTGCAAAGTTGGCACGAAGATCAGGAAAATTACGATCTTTTATTCTTGACAGTGGTAAGCGTGTGTATATATATATATATATATATATATATATATATATTAGTCGTGTACCCATATGATGCAACGTGGGTGAACCACAATTCTGAAACATTAGTTTAGCTTTGATTCATAAGTTTATATGTTTATTTACCATTAATTGAGTTTGCCTACAATGACAATTATCATTCCAGCATCCAAGCGGCGCCTTATAAGTTTTGTATGGTAGAAAATATTGAATGTCGTTATGTTGGAATGAGGTGGGAGAAAAACAGAAATAACAACTGAAAAGATTGATCAGATGCGGGAAAGAATAAAAATAGCTCATGATCGACAAAAGAGTTACGCCGAAAAACGTCGAAATCCGATTGAATTTTTGATGGGAGATTTTGTGATGTTGAAAGTTTTGCCATGGAAAGGTATTGTACGTTTTGGTAAAAAAGGAAAATTGAGTTCAAGATATATTGGGTCATTCAGAATTAGTAAACGAATTGGTGAAGTAGCGTATCAGCTAGAATTATCAGAAAAGCTCGGTATTATTCATAACATTTTTCATGTTTCGAATTTGCAAAAGTGTTTGGCTGATTCTAATATTGCCCTACCATTACCTAAAATTTAGATCGATGAAAAGTTAAGTTTTGTGGAAACTCCAGAAGCCATTACCAATCAAAAAATTAAAGTGTTAAGAAATAAATATATTAGCCTTGTAAAGGTACAACAGGGATTTCATAAATGGCAAGAGGCTACATGGGAACTGGAGTCAGAAATGAGATTAGAATATCCGTGGTTGTTTGATTAATTGAATTTCGGGACGGAATTCTTTTGAGGGGTGGATAACCGGGTATTCGGATATAAAAGTTCGGAGTGATTTTTGAAAGGTGATGGTCAGTGGAGGGGTTTATTTGTGTATGTGCTTTAATGTTTAAAATAATCTCCACCATCTAAATGTTATGATATATGAGATATTTGTTTTATCTCATGGGAGAATATGATTAATTATTTTAAAAACCTCCACCGCCTTTTATGGTTTAAAGTAAAGTATTGGATAAGATAATTATCTTATCTCATTGATTTAGTAGAGAAAAAGAAACGTGAGCTTTTCTGTGCGTAAAGTAAACAAGCCTTTAAGGGGAAGAAGAAGTTGTTCTGTGATTTCTACTTGAATTTGTTGTTATGATTAATTCATCTTCATCTATGTGAACATAAGGTGAATTTAAATTATCAACTTTTCTTATCTGGTATTTGAAATTTGAGTCGTATGGTTCTTATATGGGGATGATGATTAAACTGTTTCTGGATTCTATTTGAGCATGATGGTGAGACTAGGTATAGAACCGTATGGTTCTTTATATGAGTTACTGTTATGAAACTGTGTTGATGCCACTATTGGCAAAATGGTGGTTTTTGTCATGATTATATCATGTGTCGAAATAAAGGTGACATATCAAAGAGCTGGGTAAATTTGAAATAAGGGTGACATAATCAGAAGTTGGGTAAATTTATAATAAGGGTGGCATAATCAGGGAGCTGGTAAATTTGTAATAAGGGTGGCATAATAAAGAGCTTGGTATATTGGGATATGGGTTGCATAAATCTATTTCTAGAAATAATGATATTTTTGATCATGGGGTTTTGTTATTGCATCCTTATGATGCAATGATCTTGAGTTAGCGCATTTGTGTGATGCGAAGACTTGGATTGTCGCATCCTATTGATGTGATAAAATGAATTGTTTTATAACCAAACGGGCTCTAGTTGACCAGAGGGCCTCTGGTTGCCTGCCTCTAGATGGCTTTACTTATGGTTGTTCATTTGAACCTTGTAATATATTCTAATCCATGATAAAGGAACCAGAGGGGCTTTGGTTGATCTTCATGTTTACTAGAGGGTCTCTGGTTGTAATTGAAACTCAAATTCTTTAAGTATTTAACATTTCTTAACCCAGATGCTCTGGTTAGGCTCTAGTGGCCAGAGGGGCTCTGATTGGTAAGACCAGAGAGCCTTTGGTTGGCCCTTGCTTTTGGTTGGCCTTGCTTTTGGTTGGCCTTGCTTTTGGTTGGCCCTTGCTTCTAATGGCCTAGTTTTGTGTTGGCTTTGCTCTGGTCCTTAAGGACCAGAAGGGCCCTGGGTGGTCTTGCTCTGTATGATGCGAGGAGTTGAGATTCTCGCACCAGTGTATTGCGAAGACTTGGGTTTGTCTCATCAATATGATGCGAGAAAATGCGATAAATTTCTATATGATGCAAATTTTACCCATGAAGTATTTTTCAAGATATTGGGTATTTGAATAACTTTGAAGAATGACTCTTCAGACTTATTAACTTTGAAGTATAACTCTGAAGAATGACTCTTCAGACTTGTAACTCTGAAGTATTTTTTTCACCCGAACTCTAAAGTCTTCTTTTTTAGATCTCTGAAGATAATTCTACAGACTTCCATACTTGACCCAAATTGCTTTAATAAAACTTTCATGATATATAGGACAATTTTGGTCCTAACAGCTAGTTTTACAAATATGGATTTATAACTAGATTTGGTGATTTTCACCTTGTAATTGTATCAAAGAAATTTCTCACTAAACCTCAAGGTCTAACCCTCATTTTGTGTTTCAAAAATGTGCATTATAGGTCAGGCAAAGTCAAAGGATAAGGGAAAAGGGAAATTATGATATGTCATATATATTTACATGGGTAATGAAGGAGAGCATGTTTATATGTTATTTTTGAATACTTGTTTACGTACACAAGTTATGTACAAAGATGTTGTGGAAAAAAAATTTGGTAGCTACTTTTGTAATGTAACTTTTTGTATAATTGGGACCGAATGTGTAAATTTGTATTTCTTGTTATATGAAATATGTGGGTTATATGTGAAATGTGAGATGGGTGTTACAACCATAATATGTTCATAGTTGTGAATTGTGCATAACTAAACTTGCATAAAGAAATCGTTTGTTGACTGTTGACGCAATGATTAATGTTTAGTATGCACTTTAACCACAATATTGTTCGTTGAGATGTTCACTGATGAACGATAACTCATCATCTCTATTAAAAGTAATGTATTTATTGGTGGACCATGAATACATTTATCAAAAACAATGAGTACATACGAACCATGAATATTTGTTCACTCATGAACAATTATTCAAACATGAATTGACATAAGGATGTTCATAAAAGCTTGTTGATATAACACTTATATGAATTTAAGCATGTGTTCATGAGTGAACAAGTTAAATCTCATATCATTAAAATCTTTTTTCCAAAATACCCTTTGTAAATATTATTTACTTATGTTACCTTGCCTCCTTGTGCAATTAATTAAATTTTATGCCATGAATGATCTCAACCATAGATTTCAAAAATCAATGGATGAGATGGGTTCACAAAGTTAACACCATATATTGGGTTAACAAATGAACTCACCCCTATATATATATATATATATATATATATATATATATATTATAAAGTGAAAAAAATAAAGAAAAAAAATGAACTTCGCTGCTTCTTCTTCTCTCAACCGCCTTTTCCGTCTCATTTTTCTCTAAAAACTCTCGTCTTCTCTCTAAAATATCTTTCAAATCGTTGAAGGAATCAAGATAACAATTATATATTTGGAATCCACTCTTCGAACCCTTCATAAAGGTAAAAATTTCATTCACTTTTATTAGGATGTTTACGTTAGCATTTTTTAGACCGGTTTATAAATTATATTATGTCTAAGTTTACGGATTGATATTGTTAAAAGTATGGTATATTTCATGTTTAGAATGCTAGGATTGGTTAAATTGATGTAAAAATTAAAAGGGTATATTATGGTTTCATTATGGTTAGATTTGGTGTATATG